TCTTGCGCTTAATTCGATTGTTTTGATTAAATTTGATCACGTGCGGGGAAATTTTTTGGGGGTGAGCTGCGTAAACTTTTCAAATTACTGTGATACTTTTCAAATTACTGTGATCAACAAATTTCACGTATCACACTGGGAATCAGAAATCTAAAATAAATGCAAATCTGTGATTGGTTGTAAATAATTTTTAGCAACCATGTATTTACATTTATTATAGATTTCGGGTTCCCGATGTGATACGTGGAACTTGCTGATCACAGTAATTTGAAAAGCGCAATAATTCTATAGCATCTAACTTTAACGGTCTAACCCTAAATTTTTAATTTTACGAACTTAGTTTATTTTTACGTTGAATTTCCTTTTTGGGCACAAATAAGTATTTCCGGATTAGCCCGAATATTTCAGAATTGAATAAGTTGATAATTAAATCGATTAGTTGTTTTAAATTTTTCTAAATCGATTAGTTGAAAAGTTGTCAGCTAGTTGATTTTCAACCAAACGATTCCGGGGATCCGGATCCGGTTCAGCTCGCTTCACCGACGCTTACTTCGTAGAAATAACATTTCACCGACAATTATTCACCGACAATTATTTCACCGACAAGTTTATTTCACTGACAAGTTCATTTCACCGACAGTTTATTTCACCGAAGCTCATTTCACCGACAAAATAATTCTGGTCATTGTCGTTAAGGTCAGGTTAGAATTAGAGTTAAGGTTGGTGGGATTTATAAAAAAAGCTTGTATTTGAAATGAGATTCGGTGAAATAAACTGTCGGTGAAATAAACTTGTCGGTGAAGTGATACGTATCCGTTCGGATCACTACTAGTGTTCCTAGTTGACAAAAAGTTTGCCAATCGATTAGTTGCCAACTATATGTAACTAATCGATTTTTCATATCATGTGACTAAATTCGTCGATTAACCAATCAAACTAGAGAAATCAACCTGAATTAGCCCGACTAGACGGAATATCTCGGAATTGAACTAGTTGATAATTAAATCGATTAGTTGTTTTAAATTTTTCTAAATCGATTAGTTGGAAAGTTGTCAACTAATTGATTTTCATCTAAGCGATTCGGATCACTACCTCGGGTCTAGTACATGGTGGAGAGCTTGTCCTATTAGAGGGGAAAATGCAGCCTATTCACACCTGGGTCTAGTACATGAGATCTGATATCCGGGGGGAGGCAGTTTAAGGTAATTTGGATAAAATTTTATACGTATTAAAGTTTTTGCAGTAAGCTTGAAGTTGACACCTGCTTGAATTCAGACAATTACAAGCAGATGCTAACTTCAAGCACGACAATTTCATTATTTTTTTTGCCAGCAAACATGCTTCATATAAAAAACAGCTCTGTTTTTTTTTTTTCTTTGTGATCAATTTTATTTCGCCCGAGCTAGTTTAGTCAATGAGGATAAAGATCATACGTCAAATAAAACTTATTACTATTAAAAACCTATATAATGTAGTGTTTAACGGCCTGACTACAAGTTTGAAATACAGTATCGGTTCTAAAATGGGCGATCCTAGTGCCATAAGCATTGTAAATAATAAATTCTATAGTCGATTAGTGATCCGAATTGCTTAGTTGAAAATCAACTAGTTGACAACTTTCCAACTAATCGATTTAGAAAAATTTAAAACAACTAATCGATTTAATTATCAACTAGTTCAATTCCGAGATTTTCCGTCTAGTCGGGCTAATTCGCGTTGATTTCTTTAGTTTGATTGGCTAATCGACGAATTTAGTCACATGATATGAAAATCGATAAGTTGCAACTATAGTTGGCAACTAATCGATTGGCAAAATTTTTACCAACTAGAAACACTAATCTCAGGCAGTAAATAACAAACTGATAAATAACCAACAATTTATTCGATTATTTAGATCAATTAGAAAGTTGAGTTCGAAACAACATGATCTCTGAGCTTAATACATTAAAGTACAGAATTTGTTTCAGCAATCTCTTGACAGCTAAGATTAACACGATTAGAGTTCGATGGAATCAATAGACAAACCACTACTAAGAAGTGTATTTATGACGTCCTGATTGTTGCTAACAATATATTGAATAATTCCTAAGTTTTCATTTTCTTGCTTCAAACGGTCGTTTTCAATCGTCAGATGGTCGTTTTCAATCGTCAAACGGTCGTTTTCAATCGCCAGACGGTCGTTTTCAATTGCCAGACGAATCGTTTTCAATCGTCAAACGGTCATTTCAAATCGTCAAACGGTCGTTTTCAATCGTCAAACTGTCGTTTCCAATCGTCAGACGGTCGTTTTCAATCGTCAAACGGTCGTTTTTGTCACAAAGTTGTTTTTTTTCATCTTGCTCTTTCTTCATATAAGAAAGAACTGAAACATGAATAAAACTATTGTTAGAATTATTCATTATAAATTAGATATGCTGGTAATACATCAAATGTTTAAAATGCATAATCTCAGGACCAAGTGAGAGAGTACTTAGAATGATTTTGTATTAAGTCTTCGAAACATAAAGTTTATAATCAAGAAGATTATTAATGCTTATATCCTGGTTATAGTAATTGGGTATTATCGTTACGTACTATAATTGTCCGGAACGAAAATGTTGCTCATTACCTAGTTTCTATCTATCGTTATTGATTGTAGTACTCTAGTTGAAGTATTTGCAGATGCGATTTGATTGGTTGATTTTAAGCACAAAATTCAACAAATTAAATCGCGTATGCAAATGCGATGAGGTACCATAGTGTTCTAATACTAGCAAGCGTGAAACACTATGTTGTAATTATGATATCACTTCGTCCTTTAATAAATTGTTTTTGATTTAGTTGACGTAGCACCTAATGAATCAGTCACACGATGTGTCACATGTAACTTTTATAATATAAAGTCAAATGATCGACGCACCTAAATTTCATATATAAAATTTAGGCAAAATTTGCTCTCTAGGCTTATTAAATGAGTGCCGCCAAAAGGAAACCTGCATATCTAAAAATAGATTACTTATGAATTCCATAAGTGATCTATTTTTAAATATGCAGGTTCTTTTGGCGATACTCAAATAATAATAAAGAAGGTGTTGGTTTAATTTCTGGGTATAAGTTCGCAAATTCTCTAGCATTCGAAGGTTCTCATGAAATTTTAAGGGTGGTTAAAAATAAAATGGAAATTAATCATGGTCATGAGTTTATAGTGATGTACATCATTTATCTAAATTTATTGGGAATTGCTACCGGCACAGCAAACACGCGACATAATTCGTAATTCTGCTACATTCTAACACTAACCTTAAATATAGTACCGGCCATGCTGTGTTGTTAAGGTTAGTGCTGGTCACTTGCTGTGTCGATAAGCACGTGTTTTGCTGTGTCGGTAGCAATTCCCAATTTATTTAGTAAATTTACGCGTGACAAATCGTGTGACTGGAATCATGTAATCAAATTGCTGCGCCAAGTTACAACAATTAAAGATATTACAGTATTAAAGATACGTTACCTTCTTTTAATACGTTCTCCCGTGTTACGTCATCACATGAATAAGACATGGAGACGAAATATTTACGGATATCATCAAACGCTTTCCTAATTCCGCTGCGTCTTTCTCGTGATTTTTGTGCTCTATCGCTACAATTAATTGGAGATTAATATGTGACACAAAATTTTATAACGATAATCAATAAGCAAGCAATTTATGTCAGGTGATAAGAGATACGTTACTTTTTAGTCATTGGAATTGATTTTTGTTTAAGACGATTGCTACAATTTAATTGGAGATTAATGTCATAAATCTAACAATAAATCAAGAAACATGCAAGAACAAAAGTAATTCATACGTGGTTTTTTTGGCATTATCCGATGACTTTCTGTCATGCCATCCTTTAGGAATGTGTAAATCATACTTGAGGTTGCCATTCCCATCCATGTCATTCATTTTTTTTTCTGCAAAAGGGAGGGGGATTCAGAACAAAAATAAAGCCAATTTTTATAACAAAAAATACGCAACGTTTTTCGTTCTTTTTTGTTTGGAGTACAGTATTTTTTTTATGTGGGACATGAACAAAGAAGGAATATCGTATCATTAAGATTTAAAAAAAAACGACGTTTATCCAGTCACGTTCAAACATGAAACTTGATTCGGAATAAAAACGTGCAAAAATTTATTAATCTGGAAAAATATATTAATCTGGAAAAATATATTATACCGTGGCGCTATTATCGTTATCAACAAGATTTATTCATCTAAAACAAGTAGTTTAATATTTTACTATGGGAAAAATTGTATTTGTATCACAAACCTTTAATTTGATTAATTTTTCCTAAATACGTACTATTCTACGTATTCATTAATCGTTTTTGTTATTATAATAAATATGCAAGCAGGTTGAGAGTCGATTAAACCTTTAATCATATCATTCCATAATATCTTAATACTAAAAAAATTTGGCATTATAGACTCGGCTTGTATTACTTTTTAGATATCTTTACTGACTACGTATAATGCTGAAGAACGTGCCTGGATATTTATGTACGTACATACTAACATCGATCTGAACGATAATTTGCATATTATTTGTTAATGATATTTTAGGCTTAGCTGCATGGCAAAACGTTTCGTGTAACTTTGGTTATGATCGTTCAATATATTGTGATAAACGTTTCGTGTAACTTTGGTCATGAAGAATCGTTCAATATATTGTGATAAACGTTCCCGTGTAACTTTGGCTGCGAAGAATCGTTCTATGTATTGTTATAAACGTTTCCGTGTAACTTTGATCATAGACACAAAAACGTTCAAGTTCAAAGTTAGTTTATCAAAATACGCAAGCACGTTTACATTCAAAATATGAACATAAATACCATGATTTCGTTTTTACTAGTGCTCTACTTTAATCGCTCTTCTGTCCAATCATGCATCATCAGAAACACGATTTCTCTATAATGACCGGATTAGACCGTCTCGAAGTGCCCAAATTTCGAAAGGAACATTCACGTTCAAGGTTAGGACTTCAAATTTTAAATTATAAACATATTTTTTGTTAAGAGTGTTAACGGTTAAGAAGGTCTAGGTAGGGTCGGACACCGAGCTTTCCAAGCCGTTAACATACATAATCGCAACAAAAGAACAGAACCTAAAATGACTTCATAATTATAGCATGTTGAATGTTGATGTCGATGTGACCAGACACAAAGTAAAAGAATGAGCTAAGCAGGAAGTGGCGCGCTGAAATAAATGCTTTTGAAGAGCTTCGTGAATTTCTCCCTCTCACGCGTTACCCATCTACTTCAAATTTACATACTTTCTTCACAATTTTCGTTTGCTAATACTGGTATTTGCAATAAAGCCATTTCATGTATGAAAAAAAAAAACGGTAATAACAATACTCGAGCTTTATATCATATTTTGGTTAATATATGTTAGTTAACCATGGTCAATTTAAGTTTTATAGCATACAAATCGATTTTAGTCAAAGCGATATAAAAGCTACATCTTATGATGTATCGATAGTTATATTATATTTTAATTTGTCTCAAAAATGTAAATTTGTACCTATTCTATTAAAAAGTATTATACTATTATGTAAATTGTATCATTTCAAAATAAAAAATTTTAACCTAAAATCTTTTATATTTAAACCTGTCTAAAATTTTCTAAGTTATTTTTTAAAATACTGTACTAAAAAAACGGCGATATTTTGTGGGCTAGAACCTTAATTATTAAGTTTTATACTTTAAAATTAAACAAATGGTATTTAAATTTTATGAATTGCTATTACTTAGGCCATGCAAAATTAATGTTTTGGGTCCCATATAATTTTAAAAAATGACTGGCAGTGGCTTTTAATTTTATTTTTAAAAAATTTTATATACAGTCAAACTTCCTAAATGCAACTCATAGAGACCAGACTTTTGCGAGCTTGCATTTAGCGAACAATAAGAAAATTGCATTTATGGGAGTTTAGTATATGTTTGGACCCGAATTAAAGGTTGCATTTAGAGAGGATTTAGGGGTTGCATTTAGGGAGATCTGACTGTATGTAAAATTTTTTATAAAT